CTGCTGTGCAGAAGTGACTGCAGGAGCAGGTTGCATGAGCAAGAGCATCCGCGTGGGGCCATGGGCAGCCGGAACATCCCGGTGCTCCATGTGCCCATCTCCACCTGTACCGTCCCAGCCGTGACGTGCAACAAATGCCCCGTTCTGGGCAGTTGGAGGGGAGGTAGTGGAGCAGACGGATGAGATGAGTTAACAGGGTTGCTGAAAAAGAAGCACAGAAAAAGGAGCCACCTCTCAGTAACTCATCCCGGCTCCCGTTCCTCTGCCAGGCCAGCAGCGGCGAGCGGCACTAAGGCGCTCACAGCACTAATGAAAGCTGTGACAAGAAGGCAGCGAAGGCAACTATTGTCTCGCTGGCCTCCTCCTCGTAACGCCTGCGTGTAATAACTGCTTTTGGTTTTGCTTGCGGCTTCTGGGACAAAGCAGTGATTTAGGGGGCTGTCTGTGCCGAGGCAGAGCTGCTCACCCGGGCCTGGCTGCGAGGGAGCAATATTTTACCACAAATTGTTGAGCTTGACAACGGCAGCGGGAAAGAGGGTGGGGGTTTGTGCTTGATTTATTAGGTGACTTATTGCAATTTGCAAAAAAAAAAAAAAAAGAAAAAGAAAATTGGATGTTTTCTTTCAATGCTAGCACAGCCCTAAATTTGCATGTCTTGCAAGTAAAAGTCTTCATTAGTGAAATAGGGCAGGGGAGAACAGTCCTTGTTCTTCTGCCAGAAGCCCCAGAGGTCACTTGGAGTGGTAGGAGGCACGCACATTACGGCTGAAAATAGGGATTTTTAATTGCTAGAGCCTCTGGATGCCTGAGAGCCTTTCCCAGGCCTCCTGCAGCAGGGCTGCACTAGAGGGAACTGTTCCCTCTCCAGCCAGCAGCCCAGACCTGGGATCTTTAGTTCCTTCGGATCCGCACTTAAAAGCAAAGGTCTCACGGTGGTGAGTGGCCACAATGGAGAACTCTATGCAAAACTTCACTAACCAACAGGAAAACGGTTGTCGTCAATGTGGTATTCCAGTAAAAACTCGGGATTCTGCCTTTTGATGTTATTAAGCTGACCTAAGTGCAAAATAATTATACTGGAAAATAATGTATTCTCTTTGTCAGTCTTTAAACCGAGCCAAAAGTGAAAGGAATGTGTTTGTAAAGTGGTGCTCTGAGAAATCATAAAGATCATCTTTAAAGAGGGAGAAAAAAATGTTTTTTTGTCCTTGTATCATTGTAAAAAATTCAGGTCATGTTTACTATGGGCAGCTGGAAAATGATGATCTCAGATACTAACAAGTAACATCTGAAAGGAATCATTAAAACACTTGTGCTGTTTTGTAAGCACCTACTTAACTTTTTTTTTTTTTTTCAAAACCAGTTTAGCTATTTTTAAAGATTCCGTTGTCCTTTCAAGTCCCTGACTTTGGCTTATCTGAAATAAGTGAAAAAGAACACGAGGTTGCTATTCCTTTTCTTTTTCAAAGGGGAAAAATACTTAAAAGGAAGCCCTCTTCCGCCAGCCCTATGCAGGCTCCGTTCCAGGAGACCGATGGTTTGAGGGTGTTTTTTGTGTGTCCTTCTGCAGTCTGTCCTTATGTCCTTATTTCATTTGGCTGCCATTGGCCTCGATGAAGGAATGCCACAGCCTTCAGGAGCAAGGATTTTATCCTGCATTGTCCTCTTATTTACAGGGACAAAGTAGTATTGCAGTGTCACTACATAGGAACACTGCAAGTGTTTTTATCCTATTTTGTTCTGATATTAATGCCTCCACATTAAAGTAACAAAGAATTGGTCTCAGGGGGTCATGAGCAATTAATTTAAACCAGGTGGGAAAAATTACTCAAAAATTGCTTGCGTACAGGAAGACATCAGGTAGTGTTACGGCTTTATGTGCTTTTACTTACACCTGTGTGGAAAGTGTGGCTGCTTTGTAATGTTTTGTTTTCCAAGGAAGCTGTTGCCAATAATGTTTGTTTGGTGCTGTAATTGAGCCAGAGTCAAATTTGGAGAGAGATTAGCTTCCTGGGAATTTGGTATTTGCATTAAGTCTGGTCTGCTTGCACATGTGATCACCTCTGTCCTAGGACTTTTGCAACCAGAATGAAAACAAACTGCAATTAATACGTGTCAGTGGCATAACATTTCCTTCAACAAGTGCTTAATTTGCAGATCTAATATATGCATTATGCTGCTATCAGGAATTGGGTAGCAGAGCAGGATTACTGCTCGCAGGGCTCTGTGATGCCAGGAGCCACAGGTGACGCAGGGAAGGACATGTTCCAGCTGGTGCAAGAAGAAATAATGCTTGGAGGAAGAAAAGGGTGCCATTTAGTGCAACTCTCCACTGCTCTTTATTACTAGGCTTGATTTCTGCTCCATGTGCCCTCCAGCCTGGCCTGCAGAAAGTATTCTGCAGTTCTGAGATGATAAAATAATTACATGATTGCTGGCTTCTTGAAGACCTGAGGATAATGTTTCTAAGTGCCAACGCTGCTAGCACTTAGGAGAAGGTTGCTTATAATCCAGAACGGTTTGTGAGAGCACCCTTGATGTCAGTACTAATCTACCCGCTTCCATGGGGGTCACAAAGAACAGGGGCTGCTCAAGCTCCAGGGCAAACATGGGATCTGACAGGGTAGAATTGAACCCTACAATAACCCCTCAGGACCAGAGCCTTTTCCCAGGGGCAAGAAGGAAAGAAATACCTTCATTTTCTTAAAAAAGAAAAAAAAAAAGGAAGAAAAAAAAAAGAGAGAAAGTTTATTGCAAAACTCAGTGTTTCAGCATATTTCCAGAGTCCGCTAGGTACATTACAAACAAACCAGTAAATCCTGCTTGGAGCACGTTAAAGCCCGCCCGGCTCCCCGAGCCGCACGCACACATACTCACTCGCTCACCTGCTCGTGCCGCCACGTCCACAGAAACAGAGATGGACTGTGAGGTCAGTGACAAACATGTTACTTGATCTGTATTGGAAATCGTTGTAAAAAAAAATTACAGTAGAACCTCGTAAATGTGCAGAACAGGGAGCTTTCACACACACACACAAAACCTGGAGGCCTTATTCCACTTCTAAGCAGAGTTGTGATAGCAAAGTGCTGTAGTGAGGTCTCTTATTACAAAGACTTCAATAATTTTACAATTATATGCTACAGAACATTTACCAAAATGCTTGAAGTATCATAAATTAACAATAAATAAAAGTACACTTGAACGCAACGATGCATTTGTTCATGGACTCACTGATTCACAAAACTGGTTGGCTGTGAGGGGTCTTCCAGTCCTTGGCGCAGCGGAGCGAGGTTCTGCTGTACGTGATAAAGTGCTGAGGCGTTTGAAGGACACACAACTGCAGCATGGTCACAACAGGTCGCAGGCAGTGACAATGAATTGCTCGAGCCACTTGGTTGCAACAGTGCCTGGTACTTTTTTGGACATCTAAGACAACTAGAAAAACAAATCAAGCACCTTCCCAAAGAGGAGTTTGTGTTTTTTTTTTTTTTTTTTTTTTTTTTTTAAGCTGATTGTCCCATGTTTCTATGGCTGGTAGAACACACAGACATGTCAGTGTAGCAGTTAATGCATGATGCCACTTTCACTTAAATACACAGCTATTTTTTTCCAAAAGCATGTGTTCTTTGAACCAAAACAGACTTTTTATTTGTCCCCCTGAGTTGCCTAGAGGCATGAAGATGCATATAGGTGGGGTAAGCAAGCTTGTGTCACGAGGAGGAGGAATCTCTCCACTTAAGACTAAAGGAACAGCCAGTATGTTGTCTTTTATGTTTTTTTTTACATGTTAAAATGCACCCAGGGGCCAAGTGGTTTTTCCCAGGATAGAGCAGGGAAGCTGAGCCAGGGGGGCCATAGGGGGCATTCATGAACACCCCGGCAGAGCCCAGGGCCTGGCTCAGGGCAGGGGGTTGCACATTCATTCAGTGCAGCAAAGATTCCCTTGTACCCCTCCCAGGGAGGGTTTCGCATTAAGACGTATTGTGCCAAATCAGGGCTGCGTGGTGCTCTGGTTACCGCAGTTGAGCTAGGTCTGAATATACCAGCTGAGGCCTTATGGAGAGAGATGCTTTATCTGTAGTTTATCTCTTTTTTTTTTTTTTTTTTTAAACAGCAATTGAGTTAAGACCTACCTATTAAAAACAGCTACACTCTATGCTGTAAAAATAAAAGTTTCCCAACAATTTCACAAGCTAGCAATATAAGATAGGTATTGAAAGAATTGATGGAAAGATAGCTTTGTTATTCAAAAAAGATTATTTTTCCTCTCCAGTTATTTAACCTATCAGCCTTTAACAATCTGAGAATAAGTTAATAAATACTAGTTAAATTAGAAACAGTACATCAGATCTGACTCGCAATAGAAAACAGTTTTAAGGATACTAATTGGGAGAAGAAAAATGATCTCGTAGTGAAGTATGTGCAGTAATAACTGGCCATAAAGATGCGTGGAACCTCCGGTTTCCCAGCATTGGTGACATTCAAGTCAAGTAGAACACCAGCAATTTAAGTCAGCTATCCAGCCTAGCCTCTTCCTCATGAATCCGTGTTTTTCTGAAAGAAAAGTCAGTTTGTTACTGGTGTCTTGTGAAATACTCATCTTGAGTTAGTACAATCTGTTCACTGGCTGTGCAGGAGTTGCAGTATGGGATGAAGGCAGAAGTCAGAGCCTGAGCTCAGAGTTCGAGGGGCTGCTTCGGGTGTTCCCGGTCTTGCTTTTTCCATTGGAATTGGTCAACTCTTTACCTATGCTTGTCACTTAAGAGGAAAGCGGGAGTGTGAATCGCATCTTCATGCTAGACAGAGTTTATTCTTACGTGGCTATCCATATTTTCTATGGAATTTTCCATTGTGTTTTTTTTTTTTTTTAAAGTTGTTTCTCTAATGATAAAAAAGCTGTTGGTAGCAACTGTTCACATGTAAAATGTTGCATTCCCTTTCGAATGTAGTTTTCAAAGGTGGAGCAGAGCTGACGTGTTCCTCGGTCGCACACCGGGGACACTAGATGGAGAAGGAACAGTCTTTTTTTATGCGGAGCTGTCAGCGCCTTTTCCTGAACTATCTGCTTTTCCAATATCCATTTCAATAAAGTCCTCGGGTGGGTCCTGCGGGGGCTCTGCCGCGGCCTCCTCAACGCACTGCTCCCGCCTGCGACACAGCCCGACCTTGCACGGCCGCACGAGGGACAGGAACACGGCGCCCAGGACCATGCCAGCAGCACAGGAGTAGAAGGCCGAGCTGTAGTTCTGTGTTGTATCCACTAAGACACCTACAGAAGAAACATTTACGCCTATTAGTCACCAGCGACTGCACCCTTGCCCATCCCTCCTTTGGGAATTATAGTCTAGTTATCACTGGGGAAAAAAGAGTGACAAATGCATGCTACATTAAAAAAAAAAAAAAAAAAAAAAAGTGGTAAAACAGCATTTCCAGGGAGAAATATGGTCATCTTCAGGCAAGTCAGAACCCTTTCCTTACTGCAGGGACTTTAAGCCTGAGATACATCAGGCATTTACTTATTAGATTAGCAACTTCATCTTTTTGTAGAACGTCTGGTTCAAACATGCACAGCGAAAGCAATTCATGTGCATCTTGCACCAGAGCCTGAAACGATGCCAATTTTAGGTTCCTAGCAGGATCAGGCCAGCACTGCGGTGTTTTTTCTCACTCTGAGGTTCCTCGGTGGAGGCTGCCTCATCTTTGGGACTCTGCAGAGCTGCATTGCAGCAATCCTGTGGCTCCAGGAGTCTCCTAATAACAAGTTGCAGAGTTTTATCACTAGTCATAGTACCGTCCTGCCAGGACACTTCCACAACAGGAATCAGCATTAGTAGCTGATGTCAAACATACTAAAGGACATGAGTATTTTAGAGGTACCTGCAAGGGGTGGTCCAGCCAACCCAGCTAAGCTTTGAATGAAGACGTAGACTCCAGCTGCAGAGGACATCTTGTCGATGCCGACCACATCATCTTCTGCCAGCAGTGGGATGTGTGTGCCCGCCACCGTCCCAAGCATGAACCCAAAGAATATGCTACATGTCATCAACCCCCAAAATTCAGAGGCAAAAGGGAAGGCAAACAGTGCTACAGACAGCAGAATAACACAGATGAGTTCAATGTAGATCTTGCGGATGGGCTTTTTGTTGAGGACCCAGCCAGCTGAAATTCTTCCAAAGACCTCCGCGATTGCCATCGCGGACAGGATGTATGCGGAGTGGTCCTTGCCGATGCCAAGGCTGAGGCTCAGGGGAATGATGTACAGCGAGGGAGCAAAGAATCCCAAGGTGGCAAACAGACCAAAGAACGCATAACAGATAAAGCTATAGTCTTTCATCACAGAGAAGTCCAGTAGTTGGGTTTTTGGTTCTGTAGGGGTGCTGTTATTGTCAACAAGGACCTGTACGTTTTCCTTTGGTTCTTCACTTTTCGGCTCTACTTTGGTTTTTCCAGGCACATTGCTGGGTGAGGTAGTTATTTCTACTCCTGAGTCGATGGACTCGATTGAGGTGCGCGTTTGCTCGTTTTCAAGCATGTACTTGGTCTCTGCGGGCTCCTCCACGGGCTGGACTTTCACTTCTTCCTGCTCCTTGACGATGAGGATGGGTCGCAGCAGCGAGCCGCAGACGACGATGCTCAGCTGCAGCACCCCCACGGCGAGGAGGCTGTAGCGCCAGCCGATCTGCTCCTTCAGAGCCGTGATGGCTGCGGGGAGAGGGCAGAGGGTAACTGCACAGCCCGCAGTCACACCACGAAGCTACCTGAGCTAACAGCTAGTCAAGTAACCAAAACTCCATTGCTTTCTACTCGTGCTAAGCCAGGAGGGTCCCCGGCCCCTTGGCTCACACAGCAGAGGCCACGCAGAGGGTGCTGCCAGCAGGGCACCCAAGGGTGTCCTGTCCAGCACCCATCCAGCACCTCTGTGGGAGCCCAGCTGCAGCAGGCAGGCGCCTAGAGAGCATGTTTGAAGCCTGGCCAGCACAACTACCCTTTGGGTCGTCCTGTGTGGGGCCACAGCTCAGCGGGGGGTACCCGAGGAGCAAGCTGGGTTTGTTTTTAGTGAATGGGAGCGAGCGCCGCGTGCGTTTCCTCTCTGAGGCGCCGCCGCCCTGCGCGCAGCCGTGAGCGGAAGCCTGTGGGCTGCTCTGAGGCGCCCTGCGCCGGGGTGTTCACCCAAAGCAAGCTGAGCCTTGGGTCGGGCTGGGGAGCAGAGCCCTGGGCGCCCACTCACGGGGAGACCTGCTGCCTTTCGGGTCTGCAAGCTCCCTGAAGGGTTCAGGTACCCCAGGGCCTGGCTGATACGGCACATGCTAAGCGCCAGCCCACTCACTTTCGGAGCAGTTACTTCTGCAGCCCCGGCTTGAAGGAGCTGACGTTTCTCGGGCGTATTTTTAGCCTGCTAGATAGATACTGAGAGCCTGGATTGGGTATCCGCGCCATGTGCCCTGTTCTGCCCAGAGATGCTAGGAATGACAGCGGAGGCCTCCTTGCCTATGAGCGGCCACACGCAGGTTGTGCCTGTCCCCCTCCCTGGGGCCAACTTTCCTTGTACGGCCTCAGAGCTGGGGCAGCCGAGGGTCCCTTCAGGTCAAGGCCTCAGCACCCGTCACAGCTGCGGGGATGGAGAAGGGTGCCAAAGATTGCGACACCGGTCCCTGCTGTGCCCGTCACCTGGCCTGCAGGACATGGAGCTGGCGCCTGCGTGGGCTTTAGGGGCTCATGACAGTGAGACGCACGAGCACTGGCCCCATATTTCATGTCGGAGGGTCTCAGGGGGTTGGGAGGGGGGTCAAAGGGGCCTTGTGCATTCAAGCATGCATCTAGGTATGAGATTTGGTCTGTGTACCTGGCGCGAAAGAGAAGACAGCAAAACATTCTCCTGTAGATGCCACTGCTGTGACCAGCGAACGTCTTTTGTCAAAATACTGTGATAAAATGGTGACAGTCGGGAGGAAAGAAAGGCAGTATCCGAGGCCTGTGAATAAATGCCAAAAATTGCCATAACAACAAGCAAGGGAGAAGGAAACACCGATGCGAGAACCCATTAAGTCAGCTTTCCCGGTGGTGAGACTACAGGGTCATTTCGGCCAACTCAGCGAGTCACCCTGGAAGAGAATCATTGGGGAAACCAGAAGGTTATTTGTTTTGGTCTAAAACCAAAGGGATTTTAGTGTTTTGAGGGGGCGGGGGGGGAAGAAAAAAAAGAACAGAAAACCCAAAAGCGTGAGCTAGAGCCATCTGCTCCCAAGCAGCCAGCAGTGCCGGTTTGAAGACCTCACGTGCTTAGAGCTTGAGCCGGAGCTATCACTCCTTTAAGCTATGGGGGCTGAGGGACACCCGGAACAGAGCGGGGACAGCTGCGGGGGTGGTCACCCCTGGCAAGGTTAGCGGATGTGGTCCCAGGAAGCGCCTTCGTCTCCGCAAGGAAGCAGGAGCAACGTGAGCGTCCACAAGAGCCTCCGGCCCCACGCGGAGCCGAATCCCCAAGGGCCTGCCCTGGGTGACGCAGGGAACCAAGACAGGAAAGAGCAGCAAACCCGCGCGTCCCCAAAGCCACCGCAGCAGCGGAGAGTGGGAGCATCCACAAAGAGACCAGTTCCGGCAGAAGACCTGCCCGCACCGGCTGCACGTGCATGGGAGGACGCCCACGGGGAAGCGGCTGCGAGCAGCAGCACTCCGAGCGACCGCGTGGATCGCCAAGGGAAGCGGGGAAACCACAACCATCTTCTCTGCAGCCAGCTCTGTGGGAAAAGCTACTGAGCAGGGAGTTAAAGTTGCAGAGTGACTAATACCCATAAATAAATAAATAAATCACAGCATGGAGGGAGAGAGCAGAGACAGACAGCGAGGCAGCCCTCGTAGCTGGAACTGCGTTTGCTGGAGGCTTCACTAGCGAGTGGAAGCGGGAACAAGGGAATGGGACAACTCACCAGAAATGACCCCGATGGCGACGTACATGTCCACCACGGTGCGGGCAAAGGAGGCGGCCACCATGCCGCTGCTGATGAGTGCCCCGCCGGCCATCACCACCAAGCGGTGGCCAAAGCGGTTGCTGAGCACGGTCGAGAGAGGAGCTGGAAGAGAAGGGCTTGTCACGCCAGGGCTCCTGGGCGCTCAGTCGCCCTCGGGACCCCCCACTCCACGTGCCCACCTGTGAAAGTCTGCACGAACACACATATGGAGATGATCCAGGATATTCTGCTGTTGGTTTCATCAAAGCTTTCCATCAAGTCATTGAAGAAGACTCCAAACGACTTGATGATGCCGTACGTGAGAGCTTCCACAAAGAAGAAAGCGAATGCCACCGTCCAGCCCCATCCTCCGTCAGGCACTTTAGTATAGACATTTGGAGCGGCGCACGACATCTTCACCGCTTTGACGGTCATTCTGGATCTGCAAGAGAGGGGAGGAAGTGCGAGGCATGAGCTGAGGAAGAGCCCAGCTCCTGGACCCCAGCTCAGCACCTGCAGCATCGCTCGAGCTGGTGCCGGCTCTGCTGCCGCAGGAGCAACTGCAGGGGCCAGGAGTAACCGCGGGAGTTAGGGAGAAGTTTCCCTCCCACTGCCACGGGGCTGGTTTGTCCGGCCGTGGTCTTTGAGCCAAGGAGAAACTCCAGGCTCAGCCAGTGCTGCTGCAGCGCTGTCACCTGAGCGCGGGGACACCGTTCCCGAAACATCCACCGGCTCCGGCGCGAAGTCTCACGCCCGCCGGACAAAGCTGCCCTAATCCCCCTGCCGAGCGGCATTCCCGAAATCCCGACCAGGGCCAGGACCTCCAGGCTTCCTCCCTGAGGGACCGGTCACTTGCAGCGGTTGCCACTGCAGCTCCTTCCAAACACAGGAGCTTTCCAAGCGGCTGTGGGGATGCAGGGGGACAGATAACTTGCCGGGAAGGTGCTGGGTGCCAAAATGGCGTGTGTGGCACCCGCTCCGGTCCCCGCTACTGAGCCTGGTTCGGGGACTCGCTCCCCGGTGCCATCCCGGGTGATGCAGCTGTGTTCGGTGGGGGATGCTCCGCTGCACCCAAGGCTTTCGCCGCACCAGGGAGGCTCATTTGCCACTGAGAGGGGGAATCCTCCAGGCTCAGGACCCGCTCGTGGTGCGGGGGTCCCGCACCGGGCCCCCGTGCCCCCCTCTCCCCCCGCGCTCTTTGCTCCTCCATCGTCTCCCCGCGCCGCGGAGCAACTTCGCGCCGGGGGCCGGGCACGTGCGGGGCCCTGGGCGCCGCTGCGCGGGGTCCCCGCGACCCCCGGCGGCCGCCCCGCGTGCGCGGAGCCGCTGTGCGAGCAGCGACCAGCATGGGGGAAGCGCGCTAGTAAATAAATACATAATTATATAAAAATTAAATGCGATTAAAAAAATAAAAACCCAGCACATGATACGCATTAGAGGAAAAAAAAAAAAGCGATGGAGAGATGGAGATGAGCGTTGCGAGAGGATGTGAGGAACCCCTGGGCAGCCCTGGGTTGGAGAGATGCAGCCTCTCCCCCCCATCACTTTCCCAACATTTCGGGCGCGTTTTGCGCATCGCCGCCGCACCGGCTGCTCCGCGC